TTGCAATTCAAGCAAGGCCGATGACACCAGGCAGCCGAGACCTCCCTCCAGCCTCCCCTTTTTGGCCAGCCCACGGCTGGGGCAGTGTTGGGTCACGTGCTGGCTGCGGTGCTTTCCATAAGTGACTCCTAGATTAATGAATAACCCTCATGTTAAATAAATATACATAACAGTGCAATGCATCATCTCTTCCAGGCAGACAGGTTGAGTCCCAGCTTTTTAGAAATACACAGGTGAACCTTAACCCAACCCTACGGGTCTTGCTTGCTGGAGGGAACAGTTGAGTTTTTTCAAATCCTCTGACAATGGTGAAACCTTAAGGCAAGAAAACCCTTAACTCCTCACGAGGTCCTTTGTCAGACTTTGGATGGATGTGAACAAGTAGTTCAACTTAGCTGGTTTCTCTCCCTCTGCCCCCAGCTCAGGGAAAATCTCTCTGCTGATGGTTACCTCAAATATTAATAACCTTAACCAAAAAAGTGAAATAAAGTGCTGCCTTTTGTTTTCATTTCCCCCCCCCGAATTCACATACTGAGCATCTGCATCCAGGTTTCTGTGTGTGTGTTACTAACTTGAGGAATATTTCCTTATATTACCTTGAGGGCTGGATTTTCCAAAACAGAGCCTCTATAAAGCCCAACAGAGTTTTGGCGTTTACTTTCACGGGGCAAAGGCTCAGGCTGGGCGTGCAGGACTGCGCACCAGCTGGCAGAGGCAGCCTGCTCTGGGTTGCACTGGGCACACACCCGAAACTCACTTTGAGCAGGCGAAAGGCAGGCGGTGCACTTGTCATTTACCCTTCAAAACAGAGCAGGGACACATACGCTGCCACCCAGTAAAAGCAAAAGTATTGCTTACCTTGCAGACACCAGGACTGTTTGCTTCTGTATCCTCCCGGTACGTTCATACAGTTTCCAGTCTGCCAGTGCTTTTTCTCTTCTGTACTAGTGCTATCTGAAATACAGCATTTTAATTCTCAGAGAATGACACTGATTCCTTCCTGGGCTCTCGTTTTTAACTCTAATCTTGCTTGAAGTTTGCAAATTGATTGCTCAGTCCTCCTTCAACTGGAATAAAAGCATCCCAAATTCATCAGGTAATACCGTATCTCCATAAAGACATGAACAGTCTTAAATTATTTGAAATCTGTCCTAAGATGTCTGAGACGCTTGTATCTTCAACCTGAATTTTGACTCATGGGTAACATGGAGATGCCACCTTTTACACATGTTTGACTTTCTCTCAGATTTTCTGTTTGATTTTGTCACTGAGTGGCTCAAAAAATTGAGTTTAATCATGAGATCCACTAATCTTCTGTTCAAAGGTATGTTAAAGCCAGTTAAGCTGGCTTTGAGAAAGCTGCAGAAGAAAGCTAGAAAATCAGCTAAGCAGGTCAACAACTTTAAAGTATTAAAGCTAATTTAATAGTAAATTTAGACTAGTTAAGTCCACTGCTTTGAAAGTTGTATGTGAAAGATCTGGGGCTGAGGTTTCCGCAGGCACTGTCAATGTAGGGCAGGGCAGGTGTACAGGTAGGTTCTGGCCACGTATTCATCACTTTAGAAATTGAAAAACCACTGCTTAGATGGCAGATTTATTGGTGGGAGGTAAATCAGCCCCCTCCTGCGTTTGTACACACTTGGCTTGTCAACGAACTCACACGAACAGATTTAACAGCACTAAGCAGGTGGCTAAATGTTTGAAAGTCTGGGCACTAAGATCCTCCCCCCCCGACGTCTTCCGGTATTTTTAAGCCATGACTAAACCTAAAAAAAGAGAAATAATTTTAAATAGGTTTAAAGATTCCCCTGCTCCCGCATAAAAACAATAGCACATTCTCAAAGACCCATAATAGACCTTTTTCCCCTAGAAGTGAAGTTTTTTAATAATTTAATAATTTTCGACGTTTTTTAAATGGTTTTAATTGGTCATTATAATCCATTCTTTTACAAAACACACTGGGAAAATAAGGTAAAGGAGGATAAGGAAAAAACCCAACAACTTACTTTGTATGCTTGGCAAAAAGCTATTCCAAACACAATCATTTCTGTCATTTAGAAACATATCTGTAATTGTTTAGGAAGCACTACTCCTGACATTTCACAATGAATACAAATAAAAGACAAAACCTACAAACATTTACAAAAACATGCTTACAATAAAGCTATAGAGGCCTTTAAAACGTCAAGTATTTTTGGTAAACTCCTTGTAGGGTTGGGGTTTTTTTGTTCACAGATGGAGAAAAATTCGTAAGCTTAAATGTGCATCAGCACTCCAAGTATTTGATTACTCCTTACGGTGTATTCATTAGAAATCTGTTTAGCTTTGCTTTAGACATTTCAAACAATAGTTTCCACTGCTTCCTTGACAGACCAAAATATTCCAGAGTCTACTACAACAGCCAGAAGGACTTTCTGATCTTCAGCCAAAATTCCCTTTTCTTTACATCATCTCACTACTCCTGATTATACATGTCTTTTTGTATATAAAGTTCTCCCACAGTAAGAATTAGACTCTTTCAAAATACTCGCCACCAGAAATGTTACGCTTCACTCATCTCTAGCCCGCTCTATATATAGCTGTCTACTGCCTTCCTTGTGACTGTACCTTAAAATCTTCTATTCTTGTGCTTTTAAATGCCTTCCAGCTGTCGACAACTTTCTGCTAACACAGGGCTAAGCGGGCTAGAGGTAGCTGAGATACTGGAGCCACGTGTGAGCGGAGTAGTAAGTCCAGGGCACTGGAACTTCTGCTGCTGTTTATGAAAAAAGCCCTGCGGATGCCCCTGAAGAAGGGAAGCAGACACTGTGGGTTTTGCATGTTAAAGGTCCTATCCTCTCTAAATGCAGATTGAATCAGCAGTACTTGCTTGCCTCTAAAAAAATTGGAAAGTAAGAATCAGGTGGGTTTTTCCCCCCTTTTACTCCCAAATCACGGAGTCCTGTCTAATTTGAACCTCAGATAACACATGCTCTTTTAAAAATGCCATTCCTTGCTACCAAATGATCACACAAAGTCAGAAGCAGGGACAAATGGGGGAAAAAAAAAAGCTACAATCTCATCCTCTCTGCTTACATTAACTTTGTAGACATATAATCCAAACTCATCCTGCATAAATAAAAAATAAAGTATAATAATATGTAGTATTATTATATAAGCACAACAAAGCATAGCAAGTAATAAATCTGGGCACAAAATTTGAAAATAGAGTAGCAAGTTTTGCCACTTACCTAAAACATACTTGAAAGTTTTGGAATTGTCACAATTTCTCTCTTTAGAGAAAGAAACAGTTACACTTGTAATCTGTGAGCTGTGTTTGCCAAGCAGCAGACAAACATATTTTTTGGTAATTAACATGTCTAGAAAATTAATCACATCCTAATGTAACTCATTTTGCCTGCAGCTTCCCACTTTTATACAGTGCAAAAGAACACGCTTGACTTAAAAAAAAAAAAAAATTATAGCGGTGTCTTTGTTTTGAAGCACTTGTAGATACCTCTATTGGGAACTCTCCGTCTCTGCCCCCGCCCCTGCTTTTCTGCTAGGCCATCAGCTGTGAAAAATCTCCATTTACTAATCATCTCTTCTGACCCTGCTGTGTGCTGTAGGGGGAACAGGTGACTTTCACAATAAATTAAGCCCCCTCCAGTGTGCTTATTTCCTGTGAATTTTTTTTTTTGCCTTTGCTACTCTGAGGATGGCAAGTAGATGTTTTGACTTTTGAGGAGAAAGTGGCAAAAGTGGCAGTTTACTCTTTTCCACGTGAGTTAAGTGCAAGCTTTCCCAGTTTCTGAACAAAGAGCCTCTCCCTCTAAAGTGAAAGCTGATGATACATCTGCCCTCAAGCATATGTTTTCCAAGGCAAGATGACTAAATAGGGGGTTGTTTCTATCGCAGTTGTTATGTAGTAGCACTTACTCATTAAAAAAAAAAAAGTTCCCTTTCTTTCCTAGTGCAGATGATGTGTGTTGCATGCTTTATTACTAACACTCTGAATACGATGGATATAAAAGAATGGTAAATGACATGCAAGGTCTGCTTTAAGGCCAAAATGAGAAAGGTGAGGAGGTGGATGGTTGTTTTAGTTTCCTTTAGCCCGTACATTTAAATCTCAGCTGAGCTCATAGATCTCTCTTATTAAGGTGCTATGTGTGCCGAGTTTAAAAGCTTACTTTTGGTTTAAAACGGCCTTAGCTGTTCACCTTTCCTGCACCACACTTGTACAATCAGACTCGTGAGTATTTTCTTTTGTTGCCTGTTACACTGAGAAACAAATAGAGCCTTCCTGTTACATGATTCCTAACTAGAACTGAAGGAAAAAAATCACATGAAAACCTAACAAAGTCATTTCAAGTTTTATTTTGGCTTCTGTACAAGAAACCGAGAATTTGATGATGATTTTCTCAAAACAACAGTGTTGAGTGGTTTCCATAGCAAATTTTCCTTCTAAAATAACTTGGGTGGCTTGCCTATGCAACTAAGGTAATAGTTAATGAGAAAAATCACAACAGTTTGGCAGTTCTCATGAATTGGTCTTGGATGAAGGTCTTCATAAGCAATAGAGGCTGAGCAGGGCAGGCTTGAACAAAATTGGTGCTCAAGACAGCAACTATCATCTGTTACAGTATATGATTTTAGATTTGCACTCTGAAAAACACTTTATAAAAATGGCCTGAGTTTGGAGTCACAAGAAAAATAAATGAAAGCTGAAAGTTCTTAATATGTCTGAAAAAGTCAAGCCATCTTTCTGGAGATACACAAGGAGGAACTGCAGGTTCAACTGTCGTTGTCCACGTCTGAATATTGTGGCTGACAATTGCAGAACAAAAAAGTGTGACTAATGCAATGATTGCAAAGTACAACACATCATGGCTTAGTGTAATATGTCCTTTGCATTGTACAAGCACGTCTTTCAAAAACAAGCATATGGTGTTCTTTTGTAAAAAGGAGTTGGGCTACTCATATCTAAAGCAACACGGTGTCTTCCCTTTCAGGGATCCAGCATGCCACAGTACAAGCTGACATACTTCAATCTGCGAGGACGAGCAGAAATCAGCCGCTACCTGTTTGCCTATTCGGGCAAAAAGTATGAAGACCACAGGATAGAAGCAGCAGACTGGCCCAAAATCAAACCAAGTAAGTAGCACGGGATCTTATATCCAAAGCTCTGCTTGAAATGCTGTCAAAAAGCAAAGCAATTTGAAGAGGTACCTGTATGTTTCATGAGCAGAAATACATTTAATTCCGGGCTTTAATTAAGCTTATGGGAATTTTATTGTCTAGACAGCCAAAATGTCATTCCTGATGCTCTCACAGAAGTCAGGATCCAAATCTTCAGACAATCTAAAATGACTTACCTGCTGTCATCCAGCTGGGCTTTTACTCCTTGTCAATTCAGTTTAGCTTATGTCTGCCTAAAGCTAACCAAATGCGTGCTAATCTTCTCAGGTTCTTTGGAGGATTTGGTCTCAAAGGCCACACTGCAGCTTTCTAAAAACCCTGGTTTTAGAAAGCCAAATTGGAAATAAGTGTCAAGAAGGACACTCCTTTGCAACCAGAAAGGTCTTCAGAGAGGGAAAGTGATGAGAGAAAAAAAAAAAAGAAATCAGTTGATGTAGCGAAGAGAAAACAAAAGCATCAAAAGAGGTTCTAGAAAATGATTGTTCCTAAGAACAAGCCCTTCAGAGAGTATTCTGCAGGCTACTATACCTCATCCATTTCATGTTTTTCAGTAAAGTAACCTCTTCCCAGCTGTTAAAGCTATTTGTTATTTCTGTGCATTAAATTAGCCTTAGTTCAAATGAAACAGATCTTGAGTTTGGAGACTGAGGATATGAAATCAGAGATACCTGTGTCTTTATTTCATGGATTTGGTCCGTGTTTTGCTACACAGGCTATGACTTTTCACATCCAGAATGAAGAATAACGCCTTTAGTTTGGGGAAAAGGCACAACTAATGCACAAGGTGATTTCTATTAATCAAGCAACGTTTCTTGAGAGGCTTTTACACCATTTAACAAGCCCAGCCAGTGGGCTACCAAATTCTTGTAGGGTGCAGTTAAATTTGGTCTTTCCCACAACGTTCGACGTGACTTGAATGACAAATACTCAAGCACTGCTTCTCTCCAAGTGGCAGCGGAAGCCATCTGTGGTGCTCAGAAAACACTGGCTAACAACCCACAGAGAGGAGTGTAAATGAAGCAGTGGAAATGGGATATTTTCAGTTAGGGATGACTGACTTCGGAACCCTTTTCTTTGTAAGAGCTTAAGCCTGTTGACCATGTGGTTTAACTTGTTTCTTTCCCACTGCAATTCTCAGGGAAGCAGGGTAGAAACTAAAGGTGAGATTGAGAACTCAGATGAACTGAAGAACGCTCTGGGTAGGCCTTTTTCATACTTAACTACGCACATATTCACACATACACACACCCACTTATGTCCTGAAACAAAGTTCAGGGAATATTAGCAACGTATAATTCTATGTAGAGTTTTGCATACTGATTTGCATACATGATTTTTAAGTAAGACAAATTAAACAGACAAAGCATGAGTAGTGACTTAAAGGCTACAGAGGCATTAATATCCTAGGATGAGATGTTCTAACAGCAGATCTATCAGACAAGGTAAAGGCATTGAATCTCTCTTTGAATATTGATGATGTCCCAACGTCCGAGCCAGCGCAAGAAACAATGCAGGAAAATCCTTCCTAATGCTTTTCTTCAGTGCTCACATCATGAACCTCCCAGTGAAGCTTTATATGTAGGGTACTTGTTCACTACAGTGTATGCCCAGCTGCAACACCATTACTATCAAAACACCGGGAGCAGGGGCACCCTAGAAATCCTAAGCCATACAATTTGTAGCTGTACCTGCTGCATTAACGAATGTTGGTTAAGTCATTTAACCTTTGGATGCCTTTGTTTCTCCTTCTGTGATGTGAAAAGTTTGTTAGCAGGTTTACCAAGGGTTAATTAAGATTTTTCATTTTCTCTGCATAATGGCCTTTCGTAGCAGCCTCTACTATGACTGATCCCTAGATGAAATTCCAAAGCAGATAAGAAGTTTAGTAAAATGTGGGAGTTGCTGCTCTCAGATTTGTGAAATCATCTGTGCAAAATTTATGCTGGCCTAAGCGTTCTTTGAATTTCAGGCTTCTGTAGACAGTCAGTCAGTCAGTGGATGGGAACTGGAATGTATCGTGCTAATTGACCATGAAAATGTACACCTACAAAGAAATTGTTGGATGCATGTCTGAATGTGCTATTACATCTCATACCAGGATGCTAAACTTTTGCTTCTGGAAGGCTTCCTGAATGCTAGCTCAAGCACCAGTGTAATGGTGGCATTTGCCACCAGTGGCATCTGCGTTGCAGTTGCAGACAATATGCAAGTTAAGAGGTTCGTCATCTAGAACAAGAGTAAAGGTATCTTGTTGGTATGCATAACAATGTAACACTGCTAAGGAAATTGCCTGGAGATCAGCTAACTGATGACTACCTCCTCCTCCTCCTCCCTTGTGAAGCAATCGTTACTCATGGTATTTCCAGACAAAGTAATCTCCCACAGGCGAATCATTCAGCAAAACTCTGAATAAAAGGTAGCAACAGGGCTTTGCAGTAACCAGCCTTACACCGTACAACAAGACCAATAGCCACTGCCCCAGTCTGCCCTGAGGTACCTACACGCTGACTTTGTAGGCCATGACTTAACACAAGAAGTGGTTGCCTCCTAGCTAGGGACTAGGTCGTGCAGGGTTTGTGTGTCTTAACACTACAACAATATTGCATACAGCAGAGATGCGCCATTTGCCATAAGGAAAACAAACCACTTGCATTCTCTACCTACCTTGAATTTTCAAAATGTTCCTCAGCTCCCTCCGTGGAGGCAGGGATTGAAGAGGAAAAAGTACCAGTCCTCAGGAAAGCAGGTAACAGGATCCTTGCCAAAGAAGTTCAATTACTGCTGTGTTCAACAGTAAATATGAAATGAGGGGATCCATCCAACCCATTGCGCACACAAAGGCATAGTTCATTCTGCTGGGAGATCTTCTACACTACTGTCATTCATATTCTGTATTCAGATCTGTGTTACAAAGCTCAGGATTTCTTTTTTTCCCATTTTGCCTGGACTGGGTCTCCTTCAAGAAGAAAAGAAATGAAGTAGCAGACTCCAGTCAGTGTCATCCTGGTGAAAACCAAAGGGTAGTAAGTGTTTAGCAACGATAAGGGGAATTACAGCTGCATTTGATGTAACAGCAGCTAATGTAATAGCAATTTGGTACACCGCTTATTTTGCAACCCTCAAAAATCATTAAAATAGGTCTGATTGAACTAATTACATAATTATATATTGAAGTGGGATTAAGAAATACCAGACAAATTGCTACGCACACTTGCATACGCCATGTTTGCATTTACCCACTTGCCTATGAAAGATCTGAAACCAGTTTTGACTGCAGAGTCTGCAAGTACAACATAATGTCCCTCTTTTTAAAAACTTAAAGTAAGATGAAGTAAGATAAAGAAAAAAATACTTTGGGAAGAAGTTTGGACAAGGAGAGCACTTCATGTTTCCTGAGCTACTAAGGGAACACATCAAAGAATTCAAGTTTGTCTAAGAGCACAGGAGTCACGTCTCAGTACAGAGGATAGGTTTGCTTCACCAATTTTCACAAAATTAAAGTAAGGTTTTGCAACAACCTCCCAGCCAAACCATCATACCATATAAACCAGAAAATACTGTCATCATTCTGAAGAAAAGACTGATTTCTTACTTCTCCTGTAAAATTGATGTGAAAATAGAAAACGTGTGCATTAAGATTAATGGGCAGAAAGGCCATTTAAAGCACACTTGCAGCTGCTGCAAGTTTAATTTTGACCTGGACTGAAGGGTGTGATGAGTTTTGTTGTTTGTTTTGGCATTTTTCACGTGGCTACCCCTCAGCAAGCTGTCGTCTTAATGGTCCTTCGGGCAAATAAGTAACTGCCTGTTCCTAGAAATAGTCTTACTTGATTTTGTTTACACCTAAGTGGTGCTTTTTTTGTACAAGGGTGAGGCATATTATAACATAAAACCCTATGTCATTTGGCTTATACACTCTGAAGTTAAAATTTCTGTATCTCAACAGTTCTTTTTTTCCCTTCTATCACTAATCAGATCATTTTAGGTAAATTTTTGAGTTGCTGATTTCAGGCAAGGATTGTAGTTTATAATAGTTTTATACTATAAACAAGCTTAAGCAAGCTAATATCTAAGTATTAGTGTTGACTAGCTTTAGCACAGAATTTTAAAACCCAGACAAATATCAAGTGGCAGCTTCATGTGACCCTTCACTCTATGTAAGTCAATAATTATTTAAATAAGTAAACAAATTCACATTTTATGTTTCCTTTTGGACAAACTTTGACTTGACAATGCCACCATTTAAACCGTAGTCAATTCAAGGTCTATACACTATGACATAATAGACTCATTCAAGACCTGTATTGCCACATAATAGGCTCCTCACAAAAAGTGTCATCGAACTGACATAAGTCATGATATAGCAGAAAATCCACTGTAATGGTGCACAAAGTTACCACCCCCTTGAGATATTAAGCTAGCACACAGTAACAGCTTTTGTTCTGTGGCTCACTCAGGGAATTTGAAGCAATGGCAATTACACAGACTTTATCATCATAGCAAAGGATGCTTTCATTGCACTGACAGCTGTAAATGTCCGGTAAACTGTTTAGGAGAGATGGAATGGTGCTTGAAAGGTCCTTAGGAAACTTGACAGACTAGTTATTGCACTGAAAATACTTCCAAGATAATAGATAAATCTTGAGAGGCACCTGACAGCAGACAAGAATTCCTCAAGGGAGCAGTTGTTCTGTTTCCTGAGTGGCTTGCTGCTATATAGCTCTAGCTAAGATGTGTAAATAGCTGCCTTTGGGTAAAAAGTAGGGCTTAGCAATCACTTCCAAGGAGAATATGAGTTGTAATAGCTACAGTGCTAAAGCTGGGTTGAGGTTAGATCAGAGCACCATCCTGGTCATCCCTTTCTAGAAGATATGGATTCTGGATGCCTCCAGCTCCAGGCCAATCACTTCCCAGGGGCCTTGCTCCTCTGCCAGCTTTACAAAAAATGCATCTTT